ATTGCTTTGAGAAGGGGAAATATCTGAAAGCACTGAAGATCTAGCAGTGCTGCTCTTACCAGGTTAATTCAGCATCCCTCTCGCAAATCTCTTTTCCTCCTCATCCCCTGAATAACCTGAATTAGAACAGCTGGTTGTGGAACAAGCCTATCTTACAGATGCTGCAATTCAGATTATATTTTATTAAGCTGAAATGGCAGACATAGCAGACTCTCCTAGGGAGTTCAGAAGTTTCCACCCTTCTAGTAATTGCATACTGTACAGGAAATGGAAGTTTAAAAAAAAAAAAAAAGTCTTTCAGGGTATCTTCTAATAGGGTCATCGCCTTGAAATAAGTTCTCATCTTAAAAATCCTCTGAAACAAGAGAATCAAGGAAGCCTTCTAGCAGTTCTTGGTATTTGTCAATAAATAAGAGTGGGGGAAGGTGGCTGGTTCTGATCTCCAGTGCTGTCTCTCTGAGCCTCCTTCCCCTATGGGTGCTTGGGCAACACGTGCCTGTAGTTCAAACTAAACTGTCTGGGCCTCTGACTGCTCAAATTGCTTCACAGATGTATTGCTTTCTTCTCTTATCATAACTATTTTCCCCCCATAGATCCATCTTTTGAAAAGTGCAATATTCACTATTCCTACAAAGTAGGATTGAAAGTATTTCATATTGTTAATCCTTCATACAAACAGACAAGAACATTATAAATGTGCTGCTTTCATCTCACTAGAGTGATGTAAGATAAAAACTCAGCACTCGCCTGAAACCAGAGATTCGGGTTGCTCTTGGACATACCAAATCTTTCTCGCCCTGGGAGTACAGCTGTGCTTGACGCCTCAGCCCAGCCACCTGGACCCAGACTGGAACTTAAAGGGAGAGCAGCCTTTTTCCTGCCTCTCCATCTCCAGCAATTATTTAACATTTAAAAAAAAAAAAAAAAACTTTCAAAAGTAAGCAAATATTGTTGGCTCTTGAGAGTAAGGTTGTTACAGCAGTTGCAGGTCATGACAGTTGCTGTAAAAAGGATGCTTTATATGCCATTTATGCTTTGGGAGGTATTCCCAAAAACCTGAAAGTAATGGAAGTGTTTCATCTACACTGATGCTAGAATGCTCATTTTCCCCTCTTGAGTGGGAGAAGAGAACTATCTGGTAAGCAGAACGGCTTGGCTGTTCCTACAGGGCCAGTGAATCATTAGAGGCATAAGGCTGCAGATCAGAAGGCCTGGTATCGTGTTCTCTTTCTTTTTAACTTCCTATAATCTACCTCAAATTTGCTATTAAAGTCACATGCACTAAAGAAGGCCTCATGTAACCTCCCAAAAGGAAGGAAATTATATAATGGCCTGGGTTGAAAAGAACCTCAAAGATCATTAGTTTTCAGCCTCCCTGCCACAGGCAGGGTCACCAACCACTGAAACAATTGCTTGCCACTCCTTGAAGAAGTATCTTAAACACAGGTTTAATTTAAGCTGTATAGATACATAGAAAAGAGTCTTTCCAAGATCTGATGTACAGGTTTTACACACTGGGTTAAACTGAAATTGCTTCATGCTTCTGTGTGAAATAGAGCTCTTTATGTAGCTGGGATAACAAGATTTTATTTGTTGAGTACTTCACAATCTGTCAGTGAAAAAAAGCTGGTTGTGGATGGCAATGTATTTTATTCAGTCTACTTTACAGAATAACCACAGGATTGAAGATACTCCATTAAAACATCCATATTTGGGTTTAAATTATTACAAATATAAAAATCTTAGGGTGGGGTGGAAGGCTGTAAGTCATGACTTAATTGTGCTTCCTTGTGAAGTTCCATTAGAACAGGAAATTAGTTACAGCGCAGGTCAACATGCTGTATGAAGTATTTTCTGGAGCTGTCCCTTTTTGGTATGCCAGCAAAACTGGTCCACCATAGTCTTATGAAAACTGATCAACAATTAATACATAAACAAAGCAGCATAGAGTACTGATGGGATTATATTGTAACTCCTGTGGGATGGGTGTCTGCTAGGATGCTTAGGACTGCTTAATTCATGCCAGATTTAAGGTGTCTCACGTGTAACTCAATCAGTAATGTTGGTTGCAGATTAAAGTTCTAGAATGTCTTTAGGTTGGCATGAATGTCTGATTTAACAGCATCACTAAAATGTGCATCAGTTACATGAATAATTCTCAGCACGTACTCAATTTCTTTCCTTCTGAAAATGCATACATAATTTCAGGCAGTGTCACTGACTTAACGTAGAGGAGAATTTGAACCTATACAGGTGGTATTACATGTAGTCAGCAATCTGTATTCATTAACTTAAATTTTTGTCAAAAAATGACATTTGGAGGTCAGTTGCATGATGAAACATGTCAAATGGGAAATAGAATAGATAACAATCTTGCATACACATACCTGTCTAAGCTAGATAAATGGGTAATACAGAAATAAACAGATTCAGTGCTGATAAATGCAGATTCATGCACACTGGAGGTGAAAAAGTGTTTGAAAGGCACTAGGTTGACTTGATTTATATTGTTGAGTGTGAAGAGATGGTGAAAGGTGGTAAAATAATAGTTATACATATGGTGATATTTTGTGCTACAAGAAGGTAGCTATTGTGCATTTCTGTCTTCATACTGGAAGCAAGATGTGTAAGGAAATCTTATGTATGGCATACACATGTGCATTTTATTTACCTCTTTTCTTTTACTAGACTCTATTTTAATTTATAAGTAAATATTATAAATGTAGCCTGGAATTTTACTCTGCTTCCCTGTTCATCCTTTCCTGGCTGCTATTTGAGGTATAAATATTCAGGAACTATTAAAGGAGCATTACATTTGTGTCATGCCTTTAGTGAAGGCTTTCTGTCAATAACCATAAACTGCCTCATTTAAGTACTTGGAGCTTTTATGCTCCTTTGACATGCAGCCAATAATCAAATACCACAGGACTTCACCCTGGCCCTTCTGTCCTCTTTGAGTCCTGCAAAAGGCTAATATGATATTAAGTTGAAATTAACTCATAGCATACTAGTGGGACAGACCATGCAGTCGCACTGACAGAAATTCAGCAGGGAAGACAGATCTTTTGCATCTCTTTAATGAATCACACCTGAGAGGGAGAGAGAGAAACAAAGTTCAGGAGGGATGTATTATGTTCAGTTGTTGCTCTGCTATCTTCAGTGTATTTAAGAGCACATAAGAAGTAAAACCACAAAGCGTTGTTTGTGGGCTGGGACCTCCTGATTCTGTGTCATCCAGATGTTCGTTGGCCCTGTCTGTTTAGACTGAGCATGTGAGTTTGGCATGCACGGAGGAGCGGAAATAGTTGACATCAGTGAAAATGCTGCCTGTAGTGGTCTGCTCACTATCTCTTCCATCACAGGCTGCTCACCCTTTTGGAAAGGCTAATGTGAGCCTATGGGTTGTTCTGAGAAATGGATCTGGATGAGGCCCAAGCTGTGTGAGGAGGAGTCCTTTTCTGCCTCCAAAGCCAGCGGAAGATCACAGGCTCTGTAGACCATGACCTTTAGATCATGGCCCTTCAGTATTCCCCCGTCCCTCACAGTCATGCAGGATGTTCTTGCTGACAGATGATTTACAAGACAGAGAGCGTTGCAAGCAGAGGAAGAGCAGTGAACAAGCAGTGCCCAACAGGAAGTCCTCAGCCCTGCATGGTGCTTTCTGGAGGGAAAGCATGAGCATTTCCTCTGCTCGGCCACAACATACTGAGGTACAACGAGCAGGTTGTGATGGTGCCAGGCTGAGGTGAACGTCACCAGGTTTCGGAGTGTCTTCACCTGGCAAAGTTTCTGCATCTTCCTGGGAGAAGAAGGGTTATTCTATACACGCTTTTGCTGGAGATGTAGGTATAGCACTAAATCCGGTCTTTTGGAACACTTTCAGCCCTACAGACATCCATTCCATTGTAGAAGTTTCAGGAGAGGAGAAAGGTCTTTTCTAACAGACAGGCTGTATAGTAAAGTAGTTCATTGCAATTACATTCAGAAAGATTGTGAGCTGTGCTTGAAGGTAAGCCATCCGTTACTGCGTGATTCCTGGGAAAAGCAAGTATTCAGATGTACAAGGAGATCAGAGAGTGAGGAGGTGACTCAGGCTAGTTTTGCAGAGAGAGTTATGCTACCAACAAATTTTACAGAATGACTAAGCTCAGAAAAGTGACTGAGAAAGGAAAGAACTGAACTTAGAAACTACTAAGATCTTAACAATCTTGGTTTAGAACCTGGAGCTGCTGGTCAAACACAGTGATGGGGGGAAGAATGACATTGGCACAAGAATCTAAGACTTAACTTTGTCTTCTCCATGGTGCTCAGGTTGTGTCCTGTTCAGTGGCATCTTTATGCCTAAAAAGTTCTGGTCTTTCTGGTCCATTTTGTGATTTCATTTGTGAAAGATATTTCATACCTGTGATCACCCTTTTTACCCTTGTTTGTGCCTGCTCTAGTTTATGCCTTCTCTGAGATGGGGCTAAGCAACATGGTATAGTCAATAGATGGTGAACTATGGCTTTATGTAATGACATGATGTTTTCTGTTATGCTCCTTGCTGTTTTCCTAAGCATTCATAATATTCTACTTGCTATTTTAGCTGTATCTGGAACCTAAATTGGAATTTTCACAGAGGTGCTCTGCCCCTTCATGTATTAGATACAGGAAAACTTTGAAATGTTGTAGTTATAAATATAAAGTGAGGTTCAGTAAAGATCTGAGATGAGACTGGATGAGGAAGTCATATTGTTTAGAAGTGGATTTATTTTTAATTGGGAAAGTGTTGCATATCTTCACAAAAGCCTGACCAAATAATCTCACGTGAAAAAATGATTGGTTTTCATTTCATACACTTTAAAAAAAAAAAAAAAAAAAAAAGTGTTTTGAGTGTTTGTAATTTTTTTTTTTTTTTTTTGCTTAAGTAATTAAGAGAAATCCTAGCAAATTCATGAGTATTTCTTGTTACTGCTGAGTTTGAGATTTTTCCCTTTTTCTTTCCTTTTCCCTTCACCCAGGGACAATCCACATCTCACTGAAATCACTCCAGTGTTTTCTTACCTTCTGGCCAAGGTTAAGCAATCTGAATGTTGCTACAAACTCTGCCTCACCTAAATGCCAGGTGCCCCAAAGGGCTGCCATGCAGCCAACAGCTGTCTTTACACCGGAGGAGGAAGAGGTGACTGCTGGCTCCCTGCACTGAGGGCTGTGCCAAACCCAGCTCTGTGCTGCAGGTCTGCTTTGGGAGCTGCTGCACAGGGGCTTCACCTTGGCATCATCTGAGTATGGAGATCCAGCCACAGGTTATCCAGTGACTGAGTGAGTAACTGCTGAGTCAGTACTGCCATTTGTGGAAGCTTTTTTCCAAAGCCAGTTCCCCTGCTTTAAATTCACTATGCTCTTTGAGTGTATTTGTTTCTTTTATTTGTACAATGATGCTGCTTCCTCTGAGAAAAACAAAGATAATGACTGTATATCATTTGTACTTGGATTTTTCTCTTTATATTTTTCATTTCTGAACACTCCATGTCCTGATTAAACTGGTGCTCTGTTTGAAGTCATGGCTTTTCCTCTTTTCATGGTGTTTGAGATGGAATGACCAGTCAACTCTTCTTTATTCTGCCACCCCTTGAATATAGCATTAGATAAACGTGGTTGAGGTAATTTAATACCTTCTGCATAATGCCTCACGTGTAGTATGGAAGAGGGCAAGTTTCTTGGGAGTGACAGACCTCAGCGACAGTCTGTTGCCATGTGAGTGCTGCATCCCACTTAGAAGTTAATCAACTGATGGAACTGATCAACAGACTTAAAATATATGAACTAGCTTATAAAATATGGCCTGACAAAAGCATTACTGCAGCATCTTTTGGAAGAGCAGAATTTCCTTCTTATCCCTGGTAGTTATACTTTATAGAACCCTAAAGGAAGACCAGTAAAACCACTAGAGAAATAAGGGATCAATCTACTAAACATTTCCAGAATTAGTTTTAACATTATTTCCACAAACCACTGGGAGAATTCAAACCCATGCATGAAACAGCAGCAGCAGTGCCTGTCCTGGGCACTGCACATGTTAGATGGCTGCTTGGTTGAGCCTCTTTTCATTCAAGCTGATCCAAAACAATGTTTCAGGGGGCTTTTGGGGAATAATCCATTTTCAGATAATTAATACAAAGCATTTAAAAACATAATAATACATTTTCTTTACAAGTGCCATCCCTTCCCCCTCTAGAAAGCATTAGTCTGACATCTGCTACTGCTGCTACTTTGCCTGTTATTATTTGTCTTAGAGCTTCTGTCCATTCTTTTGCTTCTGCAGCTGCTGCTGGTGTTTCCTCTTGGTGTTTCCTGCCTGCCTGGCCTAAATTCCATCTTACACCCTCTTGCCCCTCTGGCTTTCTGCCCAGCTGGTTAAGAGCTGGCATTCACTTGACTTGCATTGCTCCTTATGCAATAGGAACATAAAATAATATTTGGGTTTAATTTGCTTTTTTGAGGAGCTCTTCAAGATCCTTTCATGAAGGCAATACATTATTTCTTTGCGCTGACCCTTGTTTGATCTTTGATCTGTGGAGCATCTTGTACCCACGTGAGAAATGTTTATGACTGTCAGTGCTGCAAAGAAACTCGTGGCAGCTTTCCTGCATCAAAAACTATGACGAGTTAGGTTTGTTGGGGGAACTGCTGGAGTAGACAGTTTTGTCCTTTCTTTTCAACAGCATCACAGTCAAGGTGACTGCACAATCTTGCTCTGACAGCATTGCTGTCATCTCTGAGTTTTATAGCCACATGCAAGTAGAGCAGAAAAAAAAATGAAGAAAAAATGCAGGCTATGCCTTCTTACTCTTCCACCTTTGTCTAGCTGAAAAACAGGAGAGGAAGTGGTTCCATTGACTCCCTCCCTTATGGGCCTCTGGGGATGCCTACAAGATGCTGGGATGATGTCTTCACAAAAAGAATTTTAAAGGTTTAACAGCTGTCTGGACCTTTCCATCAACAGAGATGGTCTTTGTTGTAAAGCTGAAGAGGCAAGTAGCTGAAAATGCAGTGTTCTTCCCTTTTGCCACCCGAAATTTGTTGAATTTAAGACATTTCAAAATATAGGGCTGAGTTTAATTGTAATAAGGATGACACAGCCAAGTTCTTTGAGTTTTTAGAACCAATAAGTGAACAGACTGCTGAAAGATGAGAGACATTCATAGGAATTCAGACCTTCTGGCAAAAACTCCATTCTGCTGAGGCTTTTCCAGCTTTATCAGATCACCTAGGAACACATTCCTGTCTTCTGTACTAGTACTGATCTCTGCCAATGTGCTAAAGGTGGGGAACGTACTGATCTAGATTATTTGGGAAATACAACTTCTTCTTTTTTCTCTCTTTCTTTTTTTTTTTTTTTTTCCTATCCTGAAGATACCACCTGTATTCCATTCATAGAGAAAATTAACTTCTGATATATAACTTTTTAATGGTGAAATAGCACCTGTCCCATTTCTTTATTTTCATTTGGAACCAAAATAAATCCTGGAGGAAGAACCTTCTTAACTACACTTCAAATAGCACAGTGTTGGCTTGTGCACAGCAAACAATGGCTTTCTGAAATAGAAAGAAGCTCTGCTCCTATGATCTGATGCTCCCCACCTGTTTATCGTCTAGATGCTGAGTATCTCTTTTCTCTGGCTGGTTATGTTATCTTGTGAGACAAACGAAGCCATGCAGTGGCGCTTTTTAGTATAGATGAAAGTATTTCCTCAACAGTATGCTTCACAAATTTGTGGCCAAGGACATATCTCCCAAACTGAAAACTGAAGACTCAAAAACTATATGGAAATAGTAGTGAATGAAGAGGAAACGATCTGTTAACTCATTTCTTCTGCCTGAACTGCTCAGACTAGTTAGCTGTGTTGGAGCTGAATGCAAGAAGAGACAGAGATTTGAAATGTGCAAATACCAGTTTCTATAAAGCAACTATTTCCAGGTGGAGGGATCAGTCTGCTCAGAGGCACAAGGTTTCTTTCATGCACCTGACCTTGAATGATTATTTCTCAATGTTTTGCTTTTATTCTGCCCACACCACAGTTAAGCAGTGCTAAAAATACTCTCAGGATTAAGAAACTAATGAATGTGAAAAAGAAGTTTGAACTTAAGGAGCAAAAAAATTTTTGTGGCTTCTAAAACATAATCTTTATGTAATATTGTGTCACCATGGTGTACTGGAGATGAGGAAAAATAATTGTTTGCCATAAAAAATGATTTAAGAGGATTGGGGCTGCTGAACACTGTTATGTCACATAGCACATGTTCCTTAGGTTTCTATCAGTGTATAAGAAAGCATATGGCAAAGAAGATCTCGTAGCTTTTAGGAGCGATGAATAAAAACCTGAAAACATAATGTTTGATAGCAGTGCACTGAAATCCTACAGAAAGACTTCTGGTGAATTTCCACTAGGGCATTTCTTGGAGACTTTCCTGCTCCTCCACTTAAAGTGCTGCTGAGTAGCATCATGGGCATCAGAGATAAATGCTACGCAGGAAACTATATTGCCTATTCCAAAAAGTAGGAGCAATTATAAGGGGTTAATTTGAGCTTTTGGTTCATTCTTAGGTGGTATCTTGGGAGAAGGCTTGACAATCTTAACTTGACACCTGTATATGTATTTATTTTTATTGGAACATAGAATTACAGTGGATTTTAAGTGATTCCGTTTGGTTTGTAAAATGATATTTTGTTTACCTTGGTTCTTCTGGTTTATTTTCAAAATGTTGTTACAATGAGTTCTTAAATATTTTAATTAGCAGCACATTAAAAAATACGGTTTTCAAGGAGTTAAGTCATTTAGTACAAGTAAATGCCCTTCTGTATCACTTAAGCCTGAATCTAGGCTGCTAATCCTGTTGAATAACAAAAATGATGAATTTACCTCCCTCATCATGCACTGGGAAAGATGCTCACCAATTCAGTGGATCTTGAATGTCAGTCGAAGGATTTTTGATAAATGTCTAAAATGTAAATGAACTTAAAGTGCCAAATATTTAGATCAGGGGAATATCAGAACTTCCCCTGATACGTGTTTGTTTTAGAGGATATTTCTGGTAATGTCCAATAACACAGACTCAGAGTGTCCCAGGCACAGTAATCAAGCAAGCAAACCAACAGAAAGCTTTTTTTTTTCATATTTATAAAAATATTCAGGTTTATTAATATTGTTGTGTGGAATTTAACAAGTTGTTTTGTTTTTTTTTTAATCACCAAAGCCTTCAGTTCTTTTCTGATTATTTTTATTTAATGCATTATGTCAGATTTTTGAGACCACAAAAGCACATCACCTTACAGAAATGCATAATTTACAGCACTGAGCACAGGTGTGGCTGTTCCACAAGCCAACACTTTCAGAAAGCACAGAGTTGGGCTTCCATCTGACCACTGCACCTTTGGATAGGGATCCCATCCCCTTCCTGCTGTTTCCTTTTCTCCATGGCTCCCCCTCACTGTTCCTCATCCCAGTGCAGGTTTTCAGTCTCCATCCACATCTGTTCTGAGCTGTACCCGTGCCTGTAGGATTGCCTGGCTCACTCCTTTTTGGATTCCACAGATGCTGGATTCTCTGTTTTGGGTTAGCCCTTCTCTAGACAACGATGTAACTGTGATACTGATTGAAATCCCTCTGCTATTCATGCAAAATGAACCTGTGGTGTCAGCATAGGGGTTTTAACAGAATTATCAGAAGGGAGGAGTGATTTTCATGAACAAATGAAAGTATCTTCCATTTCCCTAATTGCTCTCTGGCCTCTCCCCAGCCATCGCACAGTGTGCAGAGTGGCACAGTCCCGTGCATCTGGAGTTGAGATTTAGCTTCCCCTGGGCTACAAGCTGCTCTCTGGCAGAGCTGGGATGCCCGCTGTGCAGCGTCACATGCCTAAAGCCTCTTGGTCTGTTCCAGCGCCCTGCTCTGCAGTTTTCTGATGGCTTGTTCCAGGTTTCAGCTCCTGCTTCCTCTACAGTCCCAGAGGAAATGTGACTTTCCCACTCAGAGCCTCCCAGATCAGGAAGCACGGGCTCAAAGCTCCCAACTTCAAATAACTCCACTGTTCCTTACTGCAATTCAAAACTGCCCTTCTTGTTTGTAAGGCCTCTCCCCAGGATTCCTAGGGCTAACTCAGCCTCACTAAATAACCTCCCCTCGTTGCCCTGCTCTGCTCAGCTAACCTGGCCTTCTCTCTGACCCCGTTGCTTCTGCCACCTGGAGCAGCCTTCCTGTGTCTTGCTGCCTTTCTGACTCACCACCTACTTTCCAAATGCCATGTGAAAGCCTATAGTTTCAACCTTGCCTTGTAACAATCTGGAGCAGCTTAAGGAAAGCAACCTCTGGCTGTTACCCAAAGAGGGTTCAATAATTATTTCTCTAACCTTTCTAAAGTAAAAAGGTTGGCCATCAAAAACAAACCTAAGGAGGACCCCACACGCATTATTGGCTGTCTTTGTTCTAAGAGGTAAGAATAAAATAAGACCTTAACAAATTACCTTTGCTACGTGGCAAATAGAATGGTACAAAAATTACAAAGTCTGTCCATGCCAATAAAATGGTGATTTGCACATTATTACATATTTTTTTCCCTTTAATGTTCCTGTAAATTCCAGTTTCACGATGAGAGACTTGAGGATAGGGGTATGCTGGGAGTAGAGAAGATGGATATTTCTTCAGGGGGAAACAAAGATAAATATCCACTGGCAATTGTAGGGGTGCAAGGACTGATGTGTGCACACGGGCACTGCTTTAGGCCTGCCCCACTGCAGCAAAGCTCTCCCCTGGGGCACAGACGGGACGTGATGCACTTTGCCATTTAGTTTTTACCTGAAGGATTTTCCCTGTGGTCCTTCCTGGCTGCAGCTGTAGCAGAGCCCAGAGAACTCTGGGCAGACTTCCAGGCTTCAGCATAGTTACGGCTGGTTTTGCTGAAGTGCGTGCAGCAGGCAAACTGTGTTTGAGAACCGGTTCCTATGTAGCCTCTGCTAATGTCCTCAGGGCAGCAGGGAGAGAACTGCTTTTCTGAAGTATCCCCTGCAGAACACAAAGTCCTCCCCAGTCCTCCTGACCAGCATCATTTTTACTGACTACTTACTGTTTTCCTTTCTTTCTTGAGGGCCTATTTTCCCTGTAACCTCATATATTTTTGCAACT